TCTTTCACACAAGCCGACATTCGGAGTTTGGTTTGATGTTTCCATTTCATCTGGAAGGGAATCATATGCCACTTGGCGGCTAGGCGGCGCCTCCAACGCTGCTGACACACATAGAAATGGAGTTGCAACATGGGAATATATAGTTTATATATATCCTATCCAAGTGTGCCGCCAGAGACTACTGTTCTGTCAAAGGTGTCAGACGTTTTATTGCCTTTGTGGACGACCTGTTGAAAAGTTCATGGTCACGATGTGCGGAGTGTCTGCAGACGGACTTTGAAGATGCTGCTCCTCCTTAGATCTTTACACTTTATGTGATTTGCAAGGGGTTTATTCAATTAAAAGGTGTCGTAAATATGGTAAATAAAATTATTAGTTGGAGTAAAAAACTTCCTTAATTTGTACAAGTTCATATTTAAATACAGAGCCATTGCTAGGACCTCGATTGGCTGAAATGTCCTACTCGTATTCGAACTCGCACTCGCACTCATCTACATGGGCTTGTCCAGCCGCTTGAGGTTGTTTTGTATCCCAAGTTTAATTAAATTTCTGGCATACGACATCAGCAATCAAGCACTGGCAACATGGCACCGTCACCGGCACCGGCACCGGTCACCGTTCACCATTGCCGCCGCACCACGGGTTAGATGGATGCACAGTCATGGACATGACTCTGTGTAAACGGACATGCACATTTGAATTCGGTTAAATAGTCCACCTGGGCATGCCATCCACATCCACATTCACATCCCGAGCCAATCCAGAGTGGCTAATGTTTTTCGATCGGGTTTGGACTGGGGGTTGATGGAATGCCCTTGTACCAACGGGCATAAAAGCCACATAGGCGGAAGGTATCAGTATGTGCATATATATTCAAAACGCCGGCCGCTGCTAATATGTAGTAGCGAGCGACTTATAAAATGTTACAAGTTTTGTATTAATTAAAAACTTCGGCTTGTGTGTGTACTTTTACCAGGTTATATATATGTACATATATTTTTTCCCTGGCGTAGAAGCTGCTCCTTTTGCACATTCAGGTGTTCCTGTTTTGCACAGTAAGAAATTGAGTGGGTTTTTAAATTAAAATTCTGGGTAAAAGTATAGCTTTTGAAATGCTGTATCAAAAATTTAATCATTTGGAAGTCAGAATAATTTTTAATTGTTGATTCTTTTTAGAGAAAACAAGAGTTGATGATTTCTTTCTTCAGGTTAGGGTCTTAATTCTTAAAAAGTATTTATTTTTAAAAAGCGATTTGTTAACAGGAAATTGTATAATTATTTTTGTGAAAATGTATGGCTAATTTGAGGCCTCATCCTTTGGTAAACAGGCTTAAGTTTTCACCAAGTTAACCCATTAGTTCAAATTCAGCTGACTGTTCTAACACTTTTCTTGGTTTTATGTATAACAGTTTGTGGCTGAGTTCGTAATTGGGAATTTTAGTCTTGCATAGATTCATTTTCTTTAATTAAATTTAAACTTCTAACTTTTTGGTATTTTATCCGAAATTATTGCTTTGAATTTTTTAATTAATTTTAAAATGAATTTTCAGATATCTGATTCTGATTATTACCCACTTTTTTCGCTCTGTGCGTGTGGGTTGGACCTTCACAACCTGAGCGCGGGCTTGTCTATTGTTTCCCCGTCCGCCGGTCCAGTCTATCCGATTTCGGTAGGGGCGGTGGGACCGCCCCAAATAGACAAGCATGCACCGTTTTGCAATTTAAGCTTGTCGACGTTGCTGGTGCCGTGATGTTGGTGTTGCCGTTGCCTTTACCTTTCCAGTACCCCCAGTAGCCTCTCCCTATATTCTCCGCCAGCCATGCATCCATTCCATTCCATCCATTTCATCCATCCATCAACGTGTTTGACCTAGCCGGCAATTCGGTTTGACATGCGGGTAAATTGAATTTTCCTTGTTTCGCATTTGTTTCGAGTTGTTTCTTTTTTGATTTTGGCCCGTTGTACGAATTACTTATTCAAATTAAAAATATTTCTCTTTTTTTTTGTATTTTCATGTTGTGTTGCCCGATGACTGGGGAATATTTATTTGGAGTTTCTCCCCACAGTTCTCGCCCATTTTATTTACATACGCGTACATATGTAAATGGCCGGCCTGAGAGAGTGTGAACAGTGTGTACTATGTAAATACATAATCCTGTCGACATACAAGTGTAACTGAATCTATCAGCATAACTTTTTAGGGTCCGTGGCAGATTTCACTTGGAATATGTTTTAAGTTTGTTTAAAAACTAATTTTTGGGCAGTCGAGTATTAGGAATAATATTATTTTAAGGGGAATCATGGGAAAGATTGGGGTTTCAAGGTATAAATTTAATTAAAAAAGAAATACAAAAATTTGATTCTTATAATATTTTCACTTTACGACTAGTAAGAGATTTTTTTAGAAGAATTTTAGGTATTTAAATATAGTTTTCAAATGATTTATAAATGTATTTTCTACAAAAGTAATTTATTTTTAAGTGAAGTTTGTCAAAGATAAAGTTTTTACTTGCAGAGTTTCAAGGGATAAATTAAAATATATAATTAAACCCTATAGAAAACTATTCTATTTCTAAATTATAAGTTTCATATTAAAGTTTAAAATATTTTACAAGAACATATTTAAAAAAATAATCTTACTATTTAGTTTTTTATTTAATTAAACCCTCAGAAAAACAACCTATTAAATCACAAATTGCTTGTAAACACACACAGTTTCAACGAAAAATCAAATTATTTAGTTGGTTTCTCATTCAGCAAATGAAGCGAATTAATTGTTAATTTCTTTTTTATTTTTTTTTTCGGGGTCTTCTCAGTGGAACTTGAGGCATTAGGTTAAGTGGCAATCCCACTCTGATTTATGGCTATTTCCGTCTCGTTGCGATTTCAGTGATTCAAGGAATTGGAAGCGCCGCAAAATGAGCTGCCAGTTGGCAGTTGCTCATCCGGGGGGGCGCTGGCTCATTAATTGATTGCACTTATGGCCCTCAAGATTTGCATTCGCATACTCGTCCATGTACGCGCATGCAGCCGAGTGTGCGGAATTCATTATTTCCGGGAACAGTGCATTTGTACGGCAATTAGTCCGCTCGGGGGCATCATAATATACCACGGATACCGCAGCAGCTACCACGCCCATGGGCCCATGTGCCCATGCTTATGCCCATGTTCCTCTGCGGACGGCATAAATCATCTTGCAACGGGGCCGACGCCCCAGTATCAGCGGCGTTGGATATGTGGGACATAAATACCCAGGGACGGCAGCTCCGAAAACGCCGTCTAATTGAGAGACACCACTGGCACTGGCACAGGGACGGGCAAAAGGCAAATCTGGCGCAGATCGTATTGAGTTCTCACACTGAAAGAGCCCGCACGAAACCCCCCTCAATCCCAATCTCGAGATGTCGCGAGCGAAGCCATTTTTCCATGTCTCATTTGCGGCGACCCTCGGGTATTGGGGCTCGACTTTCCCCCAATTTTGAGTGGGGTCACACGCATGTCATAAATAAGTGTAAAAAACAGCTCTAGTCTTTGATGGACTAGGGAATACCACTGTTGGATACTTTAAAGTGAGACTTTTTAAAAACTAACTATTGTAGATTAAGTAAATTAATTTATATTGTATATTATATTAATCAATTGACGAGTTTTCTAATATCTAAAATATTTTTTTAATATAGTATAAATCTGTATTAGAATATTTTGTTAGTCACGGCATACCCTGTGGCATTTTCTTCTATAAATTATAGAGTCATGGAAAATCCAGCTCTTGTTATTTTTAATTTATGATCCTTTAATACCAAAATTTCTTCATCGCAATAAGTTACGCTGGCTGCCTCCGAATATTGTGTCAAAACATTTTTGATTACCAACAATTAACAATTCTTAAAATAAGCTCAGGTAATAATTTTAAAATTCTATTCTATTTTTTGAGGGGTGAAGTTTGAAAAAGGGGGATAAATCAAGAAATATGCCTCTAAAAAGAATAACTACATAAATTATAGCGAAAAATCAACCGAAACAATTTAAAATGTTTGAAAAATGTAAATAAATTCTTTTTGATAACTTAAGTAATTAAATTACGTTTTTTTATTGCAAGTATTCTACTTTTTTTATATTTGAGAAACACTTTAAACAAGTATTCAAAATCGGAAGATTTTAGCCTTCAGTTCTCATTAACCCCTACTATTACTAGTAATATATACTAGATTTAATTAGTTAAAATTAAAAACTTTTTAAAAAGCAGAACGGGTCCTACAAAAATTTAATCAATTGGTAAAAGAACTATCCAAATTCAGCCAAAAAAATCACTTAATGGTAAATAAAATCAAATAAACAAATAAAATGATGTAAGACCCCGATAAAAATCATGTTTCTCCATGGCTTAAAATCCTTAAATTTTATTCCTAACCAATTATGCTGAAACACACAATTAGGCAGTGAAAAATCTTTGCAAATTTTGAAATGGAAATAGCTTGTATTGTGTCAGTTGCCTTCTCATCCTCGACTTCTTCCGGGGATCCCTCACTCGTCAGTGGTTGTGTCCAATGGCGGCTGGACCCTGTCTCTGTGTCTACGTCTATATCTATGTCTTTATAGTGATAGTTAGGCCTATGGCCGACGGAGTTGTGCTCACGCCCACTTCTTAACATGCGCTACAAGTGCTAAAAATGCTGAAAACATATTTCACAATTAATTGTCGCCTTGGCTGGCGTTGCTTGCCAGTTGCCAGTTGTTCGCTATGCGACAAACGGCCCCCCTTTTCCCCCTGGTTTGCCGCCTTACCACGCCCCTGTCCCTCGGCTGTCGTTATTATATTTTCCTCGCATTTTTAAGTGTTGTTCGACATGGCAAAAACAACGCGTTGCTGCTTAATTTGTCGTAATTAATGCTTATGAATAGTTCGTACTTGTCGCATTTGTTAGTGGCACAACGTGGGTGGAAAGTGGTGGCCAGTGTCTAATGTCTAGTGTCTGGGAGAAGATCGGCGGCGGCTTACCTGCAGCTTAACCAGTTCCGGGAACTCGCTGGCCATCTTGGCTAGCTCCTGGTAATTAGCCTTTGCCATCGAGACGATCCACTCCTTAGCCTTGGGATGCGACAGTGTAACCTCCGGTGAGTCCTTCTCCTCGATTAATTGCTGAAAGAAACAGAGAGAAAAAGATGGTGAGTGAGGGGGGAGAGCAGAGCTTGCGGAGGGGGCATAAATTAATTATGCATGTTTCTGCCACTTTGTCTACGACTTGGCGGGGGCGGGCCGAAAACGAAAACAAAAAACAAAAAAAAAAAAAAATATAGAAAACCAAAAACGAAAAACATCGGCACGAAGCGGGAATAAAACATAGAAAGCCCATTGAGAGCATTAACGCCAACACAGTCGTCGCCTCCCGGAATATACGATTCTAATTTACCCAACTCGCACACACTCATACACACTAGCGAGCGGGTAACATTGCCCCACAATCCCTGTGTGTGGCATCCGATGGATGTGCATATGGTTATGGATATGGATGTGGATGTGGAACTTGGAGGCGGGGCCCAGTTGCACTGGGAAAAATAAATTAATAAGAAAGAGATTGATTGTAAAGTCTCTAGGTCTATGATAAACCCGAACAAAATTTACAAAAACTAATAACTAAAATTCGTCTGCTAATAACTTAAAATTTCAACGGAAAATCTTAGTAAAAACATACCCAGAAAAATCCTTAAGAATTCGAATGCACTATATTATTGCTAAATAGAATAGATATTAAAGACAAAATGCCATATCCCTAATATCTTGGTTTTAACATAAAAAGAAGATAAAGGTGTACAAAAATGCCATAGGAAAAACTACTTGAGAATTTTAACGCAAAAGCGCGAGGAAAAAAAACTCTTAGCTTAGAAAATTACAAGTTTCTACAAATTCTCTTGTAATGTTCATCCCTTTTCTATTTGCATAGTTTAAAAAATTCATATTAACAGTTTATAATAATTTCCAAGTTATGTAAATTATTCTCCATATTTTTCCCAGTGTCTAAATAAGATGGCACCGAGATATTGGGGGATGTGATTTCGGTTGGGGGATGTGTGTTGTTTGCGAGGGTGCAGAGACACGGGCGTAAAAGCTGGATGGTAATTATGCTCACGCATTCGACGGCGCCATTGCCATGTTCCTCCACTAATTATGAAGGTAATAATTTTTATTTATTAGGCGCGTGCTTAAGGCAGAGACTGCGATGGGTACATATGTATGCCTTTCTTTCCTTGCTCTCGAGGATCTCCCGGTAAAAATAAAGTTGCTTGTTTTTTGGTTCGTTGATTTACGGAGTTTTTTATGCCTGAAGGTGGGCGGGAGGGTGTCTACTTTTACCCATACCCACCCGCATCCGCAAAACTCGGCTGCTGATAATGAGCCCTCTAATGATTAAGAGGGGGATGGGGTTTCCGAGGAGATGGGAATTTACGGATGCGGATGAGGGAATGGTGGACGGGGATGGGGGTTTCCGAACACATGTGCCCGCGACAATAAGAACAGCAGCCGACATGTGTGCCTCATATTTACGAGCGAGCAACACATTTTCGGCAACTAATTATCCATTCGCGTAATGTTCGCGGCCCTAACAAGGAGTGCAGCATTTCCCATTCCCAGTGCCTGGTCCCCGAACTTTACCTGAACAACATCACCCACTCTTTGTCGGCCTTTATTATCCCGGCCTAACATTACATAGCTAATAAATACAACGACGACATTTGAATGCCGCATTTGGCCGCAGGATGCGCAGAACGCGTGCCAGGATCTCTCACTCTCCCATTCAGCGCCTTCGTTCGCTCGTTTATTTACACGCCACTTGACTCCCGAAGTGCTCACGTTTTTCCAATTACAGCCAGCGGGTGGCGAACGGGGCACCGATTTTCCCCAGGTAAGGGTGGTCGCCATTTGCAAATGCCGAGCAGTCGAGCATTATGGCATTCTGGAAGGCGAGTCGGACGAGGCGACAGGCGTAACAGGAGCAGAAACAGGAGCAGAACATCGCAGAACAGTACAAACATTGAGACGCAGTGCCCCCTGGCAAAGTGGCCATGTCAATGCTAAACAAAAGAGCCCAACCCAAAACAGGACCCCAAACCAACCGAGTTGAACCCAAAAGCGAACCGCCCACCACACTAGGAAAAAATATAAAGATGTTGCAAAATTCACCCTCAGCTTGAGGGTTTCAAGTTTGCAAATAGAAATTATTGGGAATATTAACCAATTAAGGAGGAGGATAACAAGGATAATTGGGGGTATTGTTTAGTTTTGTCTGCAACTAGGAACATTTTTCTTTTGGAGTCAGAATGTCTATTAGTTTAATAATAAGTCATTAAAATATTTTTTAAACCTTGTAACCCTTAAATATTCAAATATATAAAAGCAAAAAAACCTTTTAAAAATAAGTAATCATATTTTTCCCCAACTGCATTCACCCCCAAGTGCTCCATTTCGATGGTATGTTGCTTTTTATGGCTTTCGCAACACAAAATAAAGGAAAAATTAAAAAAAAAAAAAAAAAGGAAAAACCCGGAGCAACAACTCGGACTGGAACTCTGACTCGAACTCCAACTTTGAATCCCGGACGGGGACTTTTGGGGGGTTGAGCACCGGTTGCCCTTGTCTATAGATATCGCCCCGGCCACACTCGTCCTCCCCAATCGCTTGTTTGTTGGCCAGTTTTCTTATGTCCCGTGTCCCTTTATGCCCGATATTATATCACACAGCTGGCCGTTGTCCTTTGTCTGGATGCGGACTGGTGGACTGGCCATGGGTTCTCTGGCTGGGTCCCGGCTGAGCTCGGGTCTGAGTTCTGGTTCCTGGGTTGATACGGGGTCTGGGCCATGTCCCTTCAGTGTTTACGTTTGGCCCCGGCGAGTCTTACCTTTAGGAGCGAATGCCCACAAAATGGTCGTGTTTGCCATTTCCAGGGTCCGGGGATCCGTCCATTCTGTCACTCGAGGTTGTGTGTGTGTGGGGAATGGGTTGTGGGTGTGGCACTGTCGGCGCTCCACATCGGTGGCAGAGAGAGGGAGAGAGAGAGATTGTTGCTGTTGTAAATTCAACCGCTTCGGGACACAGTCCGTTGTTGTTTAACAGCAATAACAACTTTTGGTTTGTTTCCTTACATTTTTAATTGGGTCCTTTGTGGGCTGCCATGGCCGTGATGAGAATGGCTTTGCCTAACTAATTTCTATTGCTGCTTATTGGCTATGTTAACATGTTTCACCAACTTGTTTTATGCAAAGGGTTTTTGCGCCACGGGTTCAGGTTCGGTTCGTCCCTGCCACGCCCTCTCTCTTTATTCCCATTCCCATTCCCAATGTGGGTCGGATCTGGCAGTTTTATATGCATTCTGGGACACACACACACAGGAGGTGCCTCCGATTTTAATAAGGATATATATGCGGTCTGTTTGATGCTGCCACGGGGCTGTAGGTTTGAGATTTGCTTTAAAGTATATATTTGTAATGATGTTGGGGGGTTTAAATTAAAATCAGACGGAACACAGGACATAGGGGTAAGTTTTGCTTTAGTTTTTCTAGTTGGGATAAAAGAGGTATTTCATTTTGAAGGTTTACTTCAAGGTAAAATGGAAGAAATAGAGAATAAAACAAGTTAAAGTTCCAACCTATCAAAACTAAGGCGACTTTCGTTTTAAAAATGTATATTAATAATCATTACTTAAGCTAAAATATTTATAAAACCCTTTCTAATATTTTTGTTAAACTTTTTCTTACAACCTTTGTTATTCCAGGAATTTCACTATTCAAGGTGGCCAAAAGACCTTTCCAAAAAATATAGTTCATTAGTTTTAGCCTCTATCCAATAACATCATTTTATATAATGGTATTTCCCCTTAACCTTTTCCATTTCATCAATCAAAATTGGTTAACAAACTCAAGTTACTTCTATCAATATTAGTTATTTAAATAAAAAAAACATTTCAAGTCCGCTTTGGGGGCGTAAATTAATCAATCCTTTGCCAGCGCACAACGGTGCTGAGTGAGCGTACAAAATGCTAAATCATCGAGCTAATTAAAAACGATCGAAACGAATTTAATTGATCAGCCAAGACTATGAGAGGGGTCGCACAATTACAGTTGCAACGCCAAAAATTTCACGGTTCATCATGATGGATCTAAGCCACTTGCTCCCCAGTTTTTTTTAGTTTTCGTTGGGAATTTGGTCACGTTGGAAAAAAATCCCATGAATTAGAATATATCAGAGGAATCCCTCCTCGATGACCAGCCACTTTCTTTTACGGTTTGCGATGATTAGTTATTTTCTTTTTTTGGGGCATCCATCAAACCTATCCCAATATATATTGTTTACAACTGAATTTTAATAATTGCGTGAAGACGGTTGGCGCCACTCGGAATGATGGTGTGTCTTGTTAGCGAATCAATTTGTTAACAAGCTGTAAGCGCTTACAGATACTTTCCTTAACCCGCAGTGGTCTGAATAAGAGCTATCAAGCCCGATTCGTATCAAGTGAATGATGATAGCCACCTTTCTATTTGCTATATTCATGTTTCAGACAAATTAATAATGACTTGGGGAAAAAACAAGGGACTGGCGTATGCAAACTTATTTCGGGGAATCTAAATTTTCATCTAAAGAACCACTTTCCAAGTTCTTGACTCATATCCCCTTTGATTTAAAGTTAATTTCTGTATTTTTAAGGAAAGTGTAAATCCAAAAACATGAAATACGTGAGAAAATCAAAGTTGCGGCGGCTGTGATGCTTTGAAATAGATTCCCATATATATTTAAGGACAAAGAGGAGTTTGATTTTTCCATGTCCGAATGTCTGTACAAATAGGCACTTAAGTTCGCTTCCCTATGTTTTAGTGGGATTTTATAGCATCTGACGTGCCTGCCGTGCCGTTGACAATCCCAGTTTGACGTACATCCACTGCTGTTGACGCTGCGCGGAGGAGCATCGCTTCCTCTAAGCATGTTCCTAAAGGGATGACACCATCCGTCTCACAGACAGATTCGGATGATTTATGCACTGGGGATATATATTCGTTTCAACTCCAAATTGCGTGATTGACAGGCCTAAGTGGTTGACAGTTGTTTGACAACTCGGGCCCAATTGCACTACTATAGCCTTGTAGCATTAACTAAGAAACGAAGAAACGGTTCCTTCGTAACGCTTGACAAATTCCACTGCCACATGCTCGCCGCTCCCCGAGATTGATATTTCCAAATTAGAATCTAAGAAGGAGAACATGCAACAAATTATATATGTATCCATCTTCCGGCAGTTGAGTGGATTTCATTCGATGAAGTGTTGAAGGTTTCCCTTGCCTGATAATTGAGATGGTCTAATTTTTTTGGAAAATTTTAAACTGAGAATGTTTTTAGGGGGTTTATGGCTGTTTTTGGTTTTATATTGAGTTTTAAATTAAGTTTTCATAGAGATTATCAACAATTCGGGAAATAATAAGTGCCCCGATGCTGAGGGGCTGCTTGTGCACTTTGGACTTAGTTCCGTTCTAGTTTTACTTCAAGTCTAAAATCTCAGTAGAGATTATAAATATTAACATTATTAATATTGTTACATTATTAAATTAAATATTGCTCTTGAACCTCTTTAAGAAAAAACTTGTCATAATTTAAAGCAAAGGAATAGAGCCCTTTAAATTAATTTTTGTGATTGTAAAAGTTATCCCAAAAATCTGTTAAAAATATGCTCAAATTTAAACCTCATCTATTTTCCCAAGTGTTAACCTGGCATCCATGCATTTATTGGCCACACACAAAATTTCTCACGTAACTTATTCCTGGCTTGTACTCGATATGTACTAACGTACACATAATAGGCTTTTGGGGTATCAACGAAAATAAAAAAGGAAACGGCAGAAAAACAGAGCCTGCAGAGAGTGAGCAACAAACACCCGCTTGGCCTAAGTGCCAGCGAGAAGTGTCGTCATGGGCAGTTTGATGGAACAAAGTTACTAAACACATCGGGCTCGAACTCGGATTCGGAATCGGAGTACATGTGTCCGCACATGTACGTACACATGTCGGGCATCAGCTCTCCAGTCCGTTCTCCAGCGGGGACACAAACAAAAAAAAAGTGGACAGAAAGCGAACGGAACGAACGATGCAGGCGCATGTAGTTTTATGAGACTTACATTTATATTGTCCACTAATAAAATTAATGGATTTATTCAATTCGAGCTGGCGAGCTGTGCTGGTGGCAATTCGTGACAAGGCTCTGGGAACTGACAGACAGTTGGGTGACCAACCGAAGTAACCAAACGTAGCCAGCAGTTCCACTTGAGGTGTCCCAGAAGAAAAAAAAAACAAGCCTGGGACAGCCACTGATGCATTGACAATAATTGCTCGGGGTTTCAAGGGCCGCCAGATCTAATCTAAGCTTTGATTTGTAGCGGAATAACATTTGAAATTATGCAATGATGGGAACCATTTCAAAAGGATTTACTCAGCAGAACTTGCTTTTAATAAGACCCTGTTTAGGCCTTCATTGAAGCTTAAAACCCAAGTATAAAAAGTGTCTAAACTCCTCTAGTTCTTCTTGAAAATATGATAATATTCATAGCTATGCGACCATAATTAATCACAACTTAAAACCTCTGCAAAAAAGGTCGCATTTTTGAATTGTCTCCCAGGCGAATCTTCCCACTGACACACACACACATACAGGAAATAGAACGCTTGTGAAGAAGGGCTCCGACTCCGACTCCTAAGCACCCGCACTTGCAACCGCACCCTCTCCAGCACCCGCATGTCGGCTAATGCCCCTCTAAACCAGTTCTCGTCACTCACCTTCTCTGGCTTCTTCTTGGCTGGCGGCGATATGATTTTGGCCTCCTCTTCGGATGCCATCCGGTTGAACTTGCGCGTGGCCTCCTTTACGCTCATGGGATTCTCGGCCGCTTCACCAGTGCCACCGCCGCCACCCTCTGGCTTTGTTTCGTCAGCCAGCTCCGGCTTTTCATTGGAGCTGCTGTCCGTGGAGGCACCAGAGGAGAAGGAGAAGCGTGGAATGTTCTCCTTGTTGGCCAAGGCCTCATCAATGGAATTGGAACGTGTGGCCTGCTGTGGAATGGGTTCCGGCTCCACGGCTTTCGTTGATTCCTGCCTCTCCAGGCGCCTGGGATCGATGCGTGTTATGGCAGCCGTGAATTCGTTGACGCAATCCTTGTAGCTCTCCTGGTGCTCCTTGTTCACAGTTACTCCAGTGGCTGCCGGCACAGGCGGCGGTGGAGCTGGAGCTGGCGCTGATACTGGCGGAGATGTGACCATCGGTGGGTTCTTGTAAGGCGGTGGCTGCCTCATGGGTGAGTCAAAGTTTAGGGAAGCGCCGCCGGGACTCGAGGGCTCCGGGGCACTAGAGGCGGCGGCCACAGCCCGCTCGGCAACCTCATCCGAGGGGCACTCGTTCACATACTTTTTGCGCAGTATCAAGAACTTCTGATTGTTTTCGTTCTTTATGGTGGACAGCAGGGTCACATAGGTCTTAAAACGCTTGCGAGCCTCATCTGCAAAGGGGCAATTAAGTGATGCATTTAGCTTTAGTAACTTATTTTAACTTTTCTGATTCAACAGGTTTTCTAAGCCCCGAAAGTGACTCACTTTGCGTTTGCGGGTGCGTGAGAAATTTCTTGAAATGCTTGACCAGCGCATGATTTGTCACTTTGCAGTCGTTCGCCAGCATGTAGTTGCGTATCTCGGCAACGGACAACTCTTTCGGCAGTTCCATTTCGATTTTAAACGCGAATACCGCACTTTTAAACACTTTTTTTTACGCGAAAATAACAAATTTAACCCAAAACAGAACAAACAAAAACAATAGGCACTCGATAACTGGATTTATCGGTAGCAGACATACGGTAGGCTTGCGGAAAAAAGCTCGCTGATTTGGTTGGATGACACAGGTCTGGATGGCATGACACGCGGAAAGATGAGATTTATTTGGAAATTTAATTGGTTTTGTTCATTTTATTTGTCAAATAACACTAAATTAATGGATTATAAAATATTTAAGATATAATAATTTAATGTAGAGTGTATTTATAAATGTCTATTTCTTATTTTATGCGTCTTTTAGGTATTTAAATCGTTACGCAAATGACAAGTAGGCAAAGTAATTACTTTCTTTAATAAATATTGTATCTCTTTTTAATTTAAAAATAATATAAAGATTACATTTTTTAATTTAAAAACTATTAAGCTTAAAATTCAATTTATAATCTGAGAAAAAATGGTTAAGTAAAAAAATAAATAAAATAAACATGTCATAGGTGTAAGATTCTATATTTCTAAAACGGGAAAATCCTTTAACTGAAATTCGTAATGCTTTTCTGTGTTAGTTTTTAATAGGTTAAATAGCCAAACATTATAAATAACTTTGTTTTAAATTGTTTACAGTTTAAATTATAATAACCCTACAAAATGTTGAAGAAATTGAGCATATATTTTATTTATTTATTTAATTGGAAATAACTATATCAAATGGGCTCTGATCTGCTGATCAAAGTTATTATTGATTTTATTTGTCTTATAGATACGTAACACCTAGCTTCTCTCTTTTATGTAAGGATTTCTTAAAATATATATGCAGAAAAGGCTTAAAATCAATTATGAAATCCCTTTGGCATGTTAACTTTCCGAATCGAATTGCAAGTTGATTTGCATAAGATACAACTCAGCCCGAAGATGTTCTGCCGGTGGGGCTTCATTATGCAAAAGTAATATTTAAAACAGCTCCGAAATTAATTCCTGAGACACTGCGAAATGGAAATGCAGAGGGCGGTGCTGGGTGTTGGGAGGAGTGTGTGTATGTGGGCCATAGACCAAGTTTATATCCTTCTCAATTGGCCAAATGGCTTGGATTTTCTGTGTATGTGTGCCGGCAATTTGTTGAATCGACGTCATTTATCATCCGCACGGAGAGAAGCCCTAGCCAAGGAGGAGGTGGAAGCCACCAGCCACAGCCGATGACAGTGACAATGGCGCATCTGGATACACAGATTGGGATTGTATCTTTCACTTGCATTTCAAGATGCAAATGTCAAGACGCGTTGTTCTGTGCTCTCAGCAGGCCGTCCGTCTCCCCAAAGGGAGTTCTCCTCCATGGCGCAGATGCGCACTAATTTGTATCTTTGGAATCGTATTCGTATCTTGTGGATGGGTGAAGGCAGCAGGCTTGAGCTTTGAAATGTTTCCAAAATAAATGCTTCTTATTTATTATTTTCTGGCTAGAGATTATGCTTGGGTTGGCCACAAGAGTTAGGGAATATATTTATTGCAGGAATATAATAGAGTTTCTTGAATAAATATAAAAGTAAACTGATGAATAAGATCTCTAAATAATATATTTTCAACTAATACTTATAGTTTTCCATTAAATAAATGCATTTTCTGAAGATTAACCCCTCCAATTTAATCCTCTTTAACAAGAATTGGACTTCAGGTAGCCCAAGTGCCATTTCTCCTGGGAAAACCAAAGACATTCCGATCTCGGAAAGTAAGCGATCAGAGCTATGCGAGGTATTTGCAGCTGGATTATGCAATTGTCACCGATTGCGTTGCAAAGTGGCGCCTGATAAGCGTTGCAAATTCAATTATATGCGAGCGAATACGAGTTTTGAAGTGCGAGTGAGTGCCTGTATCTGTATCTGCATCAGTGTGTCTGTGTCTCTGGAGGCAGTTTCCCAAGGCACGACAGGCAAAGGTCTAACCGGGAGCCACAGTGATCCTCCTTCTTGGACAAGTTGGCATTGGTGCGGGTGAGGATTGGCAGCAGTCATCTTGCTAAGTGTGCAGATACTTTCAGTGCATCTTCTGGATACTCCACCTCCTCTGGATACTCCACCTTCTCCTCCTGCTTCCCTACTTGCTGCTGCTGCTGCTGGAACACCAGTTGGCGTCAGTGTTGAATGCTGCCAGACAGCGATCGACGACGAACGATCCTCGATAGTTGCAGCCAAGGAGAGCGTTTGTCTTGTCAGGGAGACTGCGGGGATGAGGATTACCTGGGATGGAATGGCTATAGTTACTTTACCACAGGACGGCATAATTGGCAATTGGAGAATGGGTTTGGCAGGGGGAATGGTTCGGCAATGGGCATGAGAATGGCAATGGGCTCACTCGCTTTTATGACTGTTTTTTGCCAACTGGTAGATGCACTTAAAGAACAGCCAATAAGGCTTAAATAAAATGTTGTCTTAATAGATAATATAAATAAATAATAAATAAGTTAAGTTAAATGAGATAAAATCCTTGAGATAACTCCCCAAAAATGTCTAGTAACTTTAACACCTAAAATCATTATAAAATCTACACAAAATACTATTAATTGGCTTTATTTACTCTTTATTTGCTTAAATTTATATCCCTAAAACCCCGTAGTAAAATATATTTTATTCCAAAGACTCTTTTTTCGAGTGTGACAACTAACGCCGACTGTCTATCTGGCGCAGTCACATCGAAGTCGTGGCCGGATTGAGTCTGTTTCTGTGTTCAACTAAGCCAAGATTCGCTCATTTCTAACCTGCGATTCGGTTTTATTTATTTATCCCTGATTCTGTGATTCCCTCTCCTCAGCCTCCTGACCCCTGGAGAGTGGCGCCTAAAATTACACGAGGCCGTGGTTTTAAACAAAAAAAAAAGTGAGTGAAGGGGAGCGAAGCGGGGCAGCTGTCACCGCGAAGGGCTCTGAGATTTATTGTTGGGAATCTTGGGATCGGCTCGGGATGGATGGATGGATGGATTGGCCTGTTCGAGAAGTCAAATGTCCGGCAGGCCGATTGGAAAGAGTGTGAGTGTCTGGCGACGACGACGACGACGACTTGTGGCTGCTGCCAAGCCAGATGTCCGCGTTTCCACAATCCTGGGCAGCCTTTTAAGTAGTCTGACAGTCATTATTGGACCATTACCAAATGAACAGTGCGCATTATAAATGAGCACATAAAACATAAACGTTGTCGCCGGGGCTCGAGAGCCGATTACTGCAATTTAACACCCCCAACTTGGTCGTAACTTCCCCTTCTCTTTTGATATCCCGTCAATATCCTCGTCTCTCGTCCTGAGATCGTCATATGTTGCCATTTCCGACAGGGGAAGAGCTCGGGAGTGGCTTGGTGTTCGATGATTTTGGTGGTCAAATGCTTTAACTCGCACCGGGATTTCGGCTCGTTTCGCTCGGCTTAGCCCGACTCCCAAGTGGGATTATGTCACTTCCCCGGTGACATTTGCATTTTGATTGACAAACTCATTTAGCAACTGCACCGAGTTTCGTGTCCTGTGTGTCCTTCGTCCTTGGGCTTCCCCTCTGCTGTGGAGTGTATATTTGCCAAGCGCTTAAGAGATTTTCAATTACACTTATTTCAGGAACAATGAAACGGTCTTTAAATGCTTTGATTTAAAATATTTACGCTTTTGCTGGGGTGCAGGGTTCATCGAACGTAAGCTCTTAATATTTATTAACTTGTCTATTAAGAGGAGAGAGGTTTTTGGTTTTTTTTTTTTTAAGTTTATTTAAGGTTTAGAGTATTTGTAAAAACTTGTATGATTTATTAAATGGCATTTTTATTTATTTATATTTTTTTTCAATTTTTCAATAAAATTTAATTTGTTAGAAACTGGAAAACCCAAAGCTATAAATAAACTTTTATATTTTAAGGAACAGGTTTTTATTACTTAAGCTTGTTTGTTTGAATAATAGTTAGTTTTTTTATTGGTGCTTTGATTAAATGAAATTACTTATATGGTGTATATTTATGTTACTTTTATATTGGTTTTCTGAAACCATAAAGTAACAGTCATATAAAGCTAATATTTGTTTAAGATTCCCATTTAATTATAGTACAAGACGAAGTTTTTCTTACTATTTTATGATGAAGTGACAGTAAAGAAATTAGCTTTCCTAAAATTGTTTGTAAAATGTTTAAGAACAAGGGATTTTTTTGTATAACTAATTAACTAAGTAAATAATAAACAATAATAAAAACAAAAAATGTTTGTTTTAGAGAATTTCTGAGATTAAGCTTTTGCTGAGCCTTTTTTATGCTATAATTCTAATTTTTTAATATATTGCTATATGTTTTTCTTTAACAATATTCCGTAATATATTCTTTCACTACCATTTTAAATAGCTTTCCACTTTTACTGACAATATTTTAAGTTGCTGCTAAAGTGAAAAACTAAAATCAATGCACTCTGAAAAGTGAAAGGTACATGTGTAGGTACTTATTATTCTATAAGGCAAATATTGCATAATGAGTAGAACTCAATTACGCGCTCATGTAACGTCCCGATATATATTCATGTGACAATTTTTAATGTTTCCCTGACAACCATTAAAGTCGAGCCCGACAATAAAAGCGGCGGCAGCCGAAAAAAGAGGATTGTTTCGGAGTGGAGTGTGTGTGTGGTGCGTATCCTGACCCTTCTCTCTCAGACCAGAAATCCTGCAGCCTGCAACCCCCGGCCTGTGTTTTACGAAGATCCATCCGACAGGCGAGAGTGTTGTGACAGTTTTTGCCGGCGAATAATAAAAATAAAAATATATTTCATTTTCCATGGGTTCGGGTGTTCTGGGTTCTGGGTTCGGGGTTCTAGATACTGGAATCATTGCCATTTTCTGGCTATTTTGAAATTGATATATGCATAAACCGCAGTGACAGATGTTGCAATTAAAACGGCATAAAAACGGTGGAGGAATTGCCACCACCATCATTCCCATATCCTGGCATATCCTGCCGGAATATATATACATATATATGTACATATATAGCGTGAAAAGTGCGCGCTGTCAGCTTGACAGGCGGACAGCTCAATTGTCAAAATAGGTTTTAAGTGCCGGCAACTGATTTTTCGTGAACTGCGAGTGAGAGCGTGAAGTGCACTTCTTCTCCTCGACTGCCACCAGTATCAATTGCAATGCCAATCACCGAATCTCCGGACCTCGAGTCCCGTCCAGACGCCCGAGACCCAGCGCAGAGGGTGGTCGGTTGTGCGATGTGCGATGTGGCGGCCGCAAATGGAAACGCCCCATGTGGTTGCCACCACTCGTCGGGTCTCTGGCCATCGTGCTGACCCATTGATTGATTGCATTTGGCCCCGTCCGTCCAGTCAGCAGCCAACTGCCACGCCCCCCTGCCGCCTCCAGAAGGTCCCGGTCCGTCGATGGTATGGCAAAAGCGATTGCAAGAGCGCCACTCGTAACTCGTAAAGCGCGCAACACAGCAAATATTGTACTTAACACCCGGAGGGGCACTTGGCCAGGGACTCGTCGCCAATGCACTTGGCGAAAAAACATTGTCCTTTTTGGAAGGGGTTTGTTTTTAAATTAAGAGAAACTCAGAGCTTATATTATATATTCTTACTTTATATATTTTTAAAAAACAGTTTTGTGATGAGGAATTTTTAAGAATAAAATTCTAGAAAAATATTTTCTTATTGAAAAAAGTATTTAATGTTCCTGGCACTAAGTTATTCCTTTAAATTGGTGACAAAATCACCTATTGTTTATAGTCTAGGCATTATTTTTTATTTCAAGTGTGCCCCTTGCTGCTGGGTTTTGCCTTTGGCCTCGCCATGACTTGGCTTCCCTTGGAATTAATTCACGTTTACGTTTGGCGGGGGCAACAGCTTTGGTCATTTGTTGCTTTGAGCTAACACGTTGCTCTCATTTCCCGCCGATGCTTGGCCGCGGTGGGTGGTGCCGCCACCCCATCCCCATTTCCATTTCCTCTCCCATTCCACCAGAGAGCACCACCCACGGCAGCCACGTGGATCTCCCTGATACCATATATCTTGTGCGGAGCGAGGTGAGGACACGCCCAGACCTTATGGCGCAATTCCATCGTGTAAGTCGCACTTTTTCGGTTTTATAGGTTAATTTGCTTTTATTACATTATCATAAAAATAAACAGAAAAAACACAGCAAAAGACAAGCTTGCCAACACACACACGAGAGCATCCGCGCGACAGCCGCAAAAAAAAACATTTGAGGTTTACCTCATGGTATTCACAGTGGACTCGGACCGAGGACCATTTCCGGAACGGAATGCGTGTCCTGGACCCGCTGCGCATTAGCCACGCTCCCAGCGAGTCCTGCGTCCTGCCGTCGCATCGTAAAAAATAGATCATAAAGCGGAAGTCCAAATATGTTAGTGCGTATTAATAGTCAAACTTTTTTTGCTTTGTTTCAAAACTTTACGCAGTGAGCGGAAATGGGAGCACTTTCCCAGGCCAAGTGGTAATCAGTTACTGCTTTTCACCCACAAAATTTAAAACCTTTTTAAAGAATAGTAAAAATATATGGGAGTAAACTTATAAGCTATATTTAGTGGTAGAGTCATGATATTTGATAACAATGTAATGTAATTTAACATAGGATTGAATACTGAACTATTAATCCTTAAAATATTAATTAATATTAATAATAATATTAATGTTTTATTAAATAAATAAATATATTTATATTGTTGATAGATATAGATCTAATATCTAATCTTAACTTACCCTTTTTAGTTGAATAAATGTTTATTAAAACGTTACATCTTAAGACTTGTTCATTGACACATCTGTATTCACTATTAACTTATTATATATTATTTATCAATTTGTATTACAAATTTTTAATTTAATTTTAATTTCCATAAAAGTGTACATGTCATTTTCAATTAGGAATTCGGTCTTTAATTAAAAGACAACCCATTTGTAAAAACATGTTTTTTATCAGCTCTATCTTGTTAACGGATGTATTTTAATAAACATTTTTAATAATGAAATAAGTATTTATAAAAGAATAATTTTCAAAATAACCATAAAATGAAACCTTAAACTGTATTACTAATAATGTGATATATAATTTGGATAAAAACTATAAGGAAAAATAACTATAACAAAAACAAATATGTACAATTTTTGTTCAGATTTCTTTCGTTTTTAAATACCTACATCATGTATTAAGTTAATATTATTTATATCAATTCAATGCTTAAATAAATATTAAATAAATATTATTTTCATCAAGTCAATATGTAAATAAATATTACTTACATCACAACAATACTAAAATAAATATTACAAATATATTGATACCTTTAAACTACTTTTTTAAGAATTTATTGCTTAATACAAATACTCAAATAAAAATACAAAATATACGTAAAGTAGGTGCAAATAAAGGAGCTTAATTTTTTATTCCTCACGAGATTTAAATTGTATAAAATAATACATAAAGTTGTTTTAGAAGAAAACGCCTTCTTCCAGAAGCCGTTAAAAATGTGATTCGAAAGCAATGAATTAAATTAACTAAATATTATTTATTAGGACTAATATAGTAATTTATAAGTAGTGTACATTTTAATAGAAGAAATCTTAAATAAATCTCATTCAAACCCAATTAATTCAAACTTAAATATTTGGTTTGTTTAAAGCTGCTACCAAAAGTGGCGTGATATTTAAGCAGTGAGCAAGTAAAGGTTAACTCAAACCAGATTAGGCTCCGATTAATTGTGGAGGATCGATAATGGGAGTTAAGTTTCGCGCAGTCCGGCGATAATGGTAATGACTGCCGATAAATACAGGCTGCTGCGGAATCCGGTGATCGTATTAACGCTCTTGTGTCGCCACTTAAGGTGGCACCCACCCCTCATCCTTGCTTCCACTTGGCGATCATGGCATCCAGGAGATATACATATATTCCAGAACAGAAACAGAAACAGGGCCGCGAAGTCAGGCGAAAGGTAAACAAACAAATGACACCAAACAAAGGGGCGTTTCCCTGGGAATCAGAGGAAAACAAGAGTTGAGGTGAAAACTGTGGTTCCATTTTCATTTCCACACACATTTACTTTTCTTTTTTCTGTGTGGCCTTTTCTTTCTTTTGTTGGGTGCCGTTCGCACCTGTCCGAAGTTGGCAGGGAGCTCTCCGATTGGTGGATATCCGGCCTGACTTCCAGTGGACTGCTTCCCCTTGTTGGGAAGTGTGTGCGGCAGTGGTGGTGGTGGTGTTGTCGGCACTTCCCAACTGGACTGGCTGGCTGTCTGGCTGGGTGAGCAACGAACCCGAGGGCGTTCCCATCGGTCGTTCCAAGGCGAGCGGCATTCCCGCCGTGGCGTAGCCAGTAGCGTTGTCCCGCTCTGGCAGCAACTGCAGCGGAATGCGCTTCCAGCCACGACGAACGACGTGGACGGGCAGGGGAACGAACGTGACCAAGAGCGGCGCAAGCACCACAGCAACGGCATTCGCAACCAGTTCATGTTCAAACGTTATAAGGTGCACATCTGGAGCGTGTGTGTGCTCGCCTCGCGCTGTTGCCGTCGTTGTTTCCGAAATCGTTACGTTGCGTGTCGTGTGCGCTGCCGCCGCGTTTTACGAGTGAAAGATTCACGGAATAAGAACTCATTTTACAGTCACAGATACGCCGGTTATCCCTGAGATACTTTGTAGTGACAAGTGACACAGATACAGCTGCAAGACCTTAAAAAACACGTGCAATCCTTGAGATACTTTTGGCAAAGCAGTTGCCGCTACAGATACTGCTTTAATCTTTGAGATACTTTTGATTGGCCTAGCAATTTAAGTGAAAGATACTTCTATAAGCAGCGGAGATACTTCTTAAAGGATTGTTTAGTGACAAAAACAGCTTGAAAGTGCGATCCCTGAGATACTTTCATCAAGTCTGGCGCTACTATTCTGCTTGTTTAAGCGTAGTGACAGCCACTTCTTCACTTCAGATACTTCTGGAAGCACTACAGATACTACTGCAATCCCTGAGATACTTTAGGGTTGACCTAATGCTGTGTCCACCTAATCGCTCGTTGTTTGTGAACACACGTAATCGAAGCTGAACCATTGTTTACGTAAAACCCAAACATCATTTGACATTTGATGTAGGAGCTACATAAGTCCTTCAGAAGACTGCCCAAAGGAGAGAGAGAGAGAGTGAGAGAAGGAAAGAGAGAGTGAGAAAGATAGAGAGAGGGAGTGAAAGAGAGAGAAGGAGAGTTATTTAATACCCAAAAAGTCCTGGAGTGAAATGGCTGCCTACACACAATTCGGATACGGAGGCTTTCCGACGGCCTCGCAGGTGGGTTTTAAATTTAAAATGATTATATCGTAAAAAATATAAAGTATATGGTATATAACGATATTAACTTTACCTACAGTAAAATATTAGTTTAATATTTATTACCCCGACTGCACTGTTTTTTAAATAGTTCATGAAAAAGGTTAAACATAAGAAGATTTGAGAGGAGACTGCCATATGATTTCAATTTTTAAAAGTATAATAAAATATATAAAATTCTTTGGATAAAAACAAAGCAGAAATTTTGTTTAAAATATTCTATATATGAATAAATAAATCAAAAATATAAAAATATTACCATATAAACAATACAAATGGGTATAAAATGCTTATTTTTGCTCTATAATTTTTTAACATTTTGTTTTATTATTTTGTGTTATCTAGAAAGTATAAACTATTCTTACATATACCAAATTAAATTTATTCTTTTGGTAACTAACTCACAATTAGGTATATTGGCAAAAGCCCAACATATAGATACAATCCGTTTTATTTCAAGAAACCTAAATCTTATAAGACCCAAGCCTACATGCAATTTTTAAAAGCCTCAAGTACAAGTAGTTTCTTGGCAGCGGCCGCCCCAAAGTCAAAGCTATCTGATCGCTTGATCTTGAAGACCTACCACTACTGTAGGGCAAAAACGCCTCAACTCTTTGATTGTTGCGCTCTTGGACTTTCACATGAAAGGCAGCAGCAAAAAAGCTCCTCCTTAAAGCCAACTCTTTTTGCCATGCTTATGACAGTAAATTGGTAGAAGTAAGCAAAGGAACAATAAATCAGATGCCTGATATATGGCCTGAGAAAAAAGCACTAGCCAGGACTCGGAACTTTTTATGTCAGCTGTAAAAGTCAGTTGCCTTTAACTTTTCGTGAGCATTGTTTAAACTTTAAAGATATGCTGCAGGTGCAACAATAATATTTTGTGCAACATTTTGATGGATCACAGTGCCTGTGAAAGTTATTAGGATACAAATAGTAAATTTATTGAGTTTTTTTCTCTCCTAAAAGATACTCGCACACTAGCCAGTTTAATTTCCCAGGCTGGGATTCCTCGAAGAAGAGCCCGGGACGGAGACTCTTTCCCATTTCGGACCACACGAGTCCAATTAAGTGCAGTCGAAATGAAGAGGGAGGAGGAGGAGGAGGAGTGCAAAGAGCCAGCCAGAGTCGTAGGCAATCAGGAGGTGCAGGCGATGGGGAGGTGCCGATTGAGGCACGCTCAGGTGAAACTGTTGAAAAGTCAATAAAATTCAATTGCGGCGATCGTAAATCATAAAATTCATAACCGTAAAGTGACAGCTGAGGGCAGGCCCTGGGAATGCCTTGGTAGCTACGTGAGCAGCATCTTGGCCCTCCATTGATGAGGAGTTGGACTCTGGGCAAGATGCCGTGCCGATATGCAGTGGAGGTCTCGGTCTCGATCTTGGTCTTCCTCTTGCTCTTGGTCTCACAATGCGAACGATCATCGATGGACCAATGACTTTGGACCCCGCTCTGATCTACTTTACATTGCACTGGGGCGCTCCTCTCTTTTCTCTTCAAGTGGCGCTTGCTGCTATCAAGTTGGTCATCTGCCCAGGGAGAGGAGGATCAAGAGGAGTGCGGGAGTAGATGCGAGTCGGAGGCGGATGGATCCGGGAGCCTGGCAGAGAACTCGGAGATACAAGTCGCGATTAGATCGCTGCGTTTGCGATTCACAGAAATTTCCAAAGCACTGAAACTGGACTGGGACTGGGACTGGGACTCGAACTGGGCACTGGCACTGTGCACACATGGCCAGCAGATCTTATCTGGCCACTGTCGCCTGCCAGTCGTCTGCACAGGCTCCACTCCACTCTTCTTCACTCCACTCATGGACGACATGGACGTGGCCAATTCACATGACCATGGCCCACTGGACTCTCGAGTCTTGACTGGCGCTTCCTCCGTCCTGGAAAGGAATGGAGTGGAGGTGCTCCTCGCTGCCTCATGAATAATGCATTCAAGGAGAACGCAAGGAGCCGAGGAATCTGGCAGGCGCATAGAGCTCCCTATATGGTGTCGCCTATCAGATCAGTTGTCATAATTCTCATATTGTTCGCGATTCGCTGGGAACGCAGCAGCAGCAGCAGCAAGGAGCAAGCACAGCTCCCAGGTCTCGGGACCGAAATGTATTTGCTTTTTACTAATTAAAATCACGCGGCCCAAAAACACAAAAAAACACCTGAATCATTCATTTGTTAAATTTTGATAAATGGTCGTGCGTTTTTTTTTTCTGTATTTTTGTTTTCATCGGTGTCCCTATATATAGTCAATCAGGCGGGATTTTGGCCTCGAAATTCTATTATTCGAACGATTCCCCCAGCATGACTCAAAATTTTTCCTATATTAATTATGAATTGCTCAAAAGACCTTCTAGTGGATCACTCACCTGTAGATTCTACACTTGAATTAGAGAGAAAAAGTGATTTTAGGCGATGATCGATGGTGGGTTTATTAATTAAAGTTGGGTATTCCTTTTAAGAGATTTATAAAATTTTGTTTAAAGGAATCGAGGGAGGAATTGTGCTTAATAGATTCATGTTATTTTGATTTTTCCACATATACATTTCCTATTTTGTTTAAAATTTCCTTGAAAACATAGGGTAAGGTGGGGTAAAGCCGACCTAGTAAATGGTTTTGGCTATAAAATGCTTATTTTACATCGGATAAAGTCGTTATATATACCAAATTAAAGGTTAGACTTTTGCTCAACGTTCTATGCATAGCATTTTATTCATACCTTTGAAAAGTTTTGAGATACAAGCGTTTTACGAAAAAGTTCATTTTTGCTATGTTCAAAAATGATGGGGTAAACCCGACCGCCTATGTTTTTGGTTGATTTAGTACAGATATAACCTAAATATAGGTTTTGCAATGATAAGTCAATCAATGTTATGTTATTTAATGGTAATAAAAGATAAAAGAATTAAAAAAATTAAAATAGCAAAATAATTAATCAGTATCATCTGATTCGCTGCTCAAATAGCTTGCTGGCGTTTTTTGGTTCGAGTTGAACGTCTGGTTGGCTGCGATGTTGATGGTTTTGGTGTGATTGTTGTTTTTTTTGGATTTTTTGCGGCAGGATTTACCCCACTATTTAGAGGTCGGATTTGCCCCACCACGTAATTTTTCATAAAAACGCAATTAAAAAAGAAATTATGAAAAAAAATGAACCAAACTTATATGCACTTTGTAGGACTTTATTCAAAGAATCTAAATCCACTTACCTTTTCATGCGATAACTTTGACAAAAAGAAATATCCTGCAGTTAATTATGCACAAAAATGAAATTCAAAATTGTGAAAACAAACTTGTTGTCGTTTGACCATCTCAATGTTGACTAATAAAATGCTGTCATACCACCATTTACATTGTTTTCGGTGCTCTACACGACAACACTAATATTATTTTGCGTAGTGCTTCCGATTTTCGAAAACAGAGGGAGGTCGGGTTTACCCACACTGTCGGCTTTACCCCACCTTACCCTATCTCTTAAAAAATGAATCCCTTTTCTCTGGGTGTACTCTCCTCCAAAATCGATCCCTTTTCGATCTCCCTTCGATCTCATCTGATAATTATAAAATAATATGCATGTGCTGCGATTTCGATGGGCGAAGAAGGTTCTATTGTCAGATTATGTTAATGGCGCGGAATAATTATGCGTTTTTGGTCGGCATTTAATTTTTGCCCAGAATTTCGCTACGGAAGCCGTGTAAGCCTGGCCAGAAATTGCTGCCAGGATATACAATATATGACCTTTAGGCTGACGCAGGCAGACATTCCGCTGGCATTCGATCAATTTGTAGCTGTCCATCAGCGGAGCATTCAGCTTAATTATAGGTTCGGCAATATATTTTCGCCCAGGCAGACTTTGAAAATTGAGGCAGCTCGCTCGTTTCGCAGATTGCCTGCGGTAATTTTCAGAAGCCTTCTTCGCCAGCATCTGCAACTCCATCTCGATCTTGGCCAAAGGTCTGGGCCTGGGCCTGGGTCTTGGGACTGGGACTGGGCCTGGGTCTGAGCTGCAGACCTGAGACTGCAGAGTCTCCAGCGGACCGACCTATAGGCGTCGGCTGCCACACCCTCATTGATTTCTGGCATTTTTAAATGCCCAACCAGTCTGCTTCTTGGGCTTGGCGCATTTTGCATATTAATTGCCAAGTGAGTGGCGCATGCCATAGGCGAGAAGCTCCTCTTCGCATACATAAAGAAAAAAAAAATTATATAAAGAAAAGATGGAGGACATCAAGCACTTGAAATCGATTTGCGATGTGCGAGGTAATTGATCTGGCCGCCGCCATTTGCAGGCGGATGAAGGAGGCCAAAGGAGGCCAACGGAGTCCAGCAGCAGATTCCCGAATCCCGGCCATTGATTAAGGGAACTTAATCGCCGCGGGATTATGAATCCCGTGCAGCTTCTGCTTCTGCGCTTTGCTTTTCAGCCGGCGGCGCTGATTGTGTGTTAACACCATATTCGCTTACATGTTATCGATGCATCTTGTAATGGGGGCCTTCTGTCGATTTTTCGAATTAAATTCGCTCGCAATTACCCCGACCCGCCGCCTGTGCGGATTTTGTATCTTTGGGATGGGCAAACAACATTGCCGGACATCAATATTTATGAAGTTTCTAGTACGGCAGTTAGCATGACTTACTCGGGCTTTCATCGGCACAAAATTAGCCATTATGCGTGGACGTGTGTGTGTGTATGTGTGCGTTTCCTGTGCCCCAGGTGGAGGGAGGAATCTATTCCCAGGCAGGTTCTTCTTGGAGCACCTTCCTGGCCAAGTTGACAGCTGGTTTATCTAGCTGTTAGCTGTAATTATCTAAAGGAATAATAATACTAATCAATTTTAAAATAATTGTAATCGTTAACAAGAAAGAAAGGGGATTTTTATAAATATAGTTTAGAACTTTTAAAAAGATTCATTTTTGGTTAATATAAATGACAAGTCTAAGCATATAAATATGAATTTGTAGTATTAAATTAGGATGTTAAGTATATAATTTTTAAATATTTAGCTGTTGAGTTGAGTTAACATTTAACTTAGCTTGTTTTAATGTCAAATTATTTATTTTTTTATATATATATAAATATATTTATATATATATAAATAAATATATTTATATATTTATATATATATATATATATATATATATATATATATATTTATCTGGCATTTAAGCTTAAAAACCCCAAAGCTTAACGAAATGTAAAGTTTATCCAGCTGTTACATTTAATTCCCAATAATAGCTAATTCATTGGTCTAATATGTATTAAGATAAATACCACATATTGCTAAAGGTTAGTTTGATGTTTGAAAATTAAATATTTCCCTTCAATAAGGTAACGTTGAGATATTTCTTGGAAACCTCGGCCGGGTAAGTGTGTGAAGAGCCTTATCAGGTCTTTGTATCGCCCATAAGGTGTTCGAAATGACCCTTTGGCAGCCGAGGGAAAATATTTCTCGATCGTCGGGGCCTGTGGTGCTGTCTTTGAAATAAAATTAAAATGGCCCTTTGATTAACATGCATTAGTTATGTAAGCCAGTGGCGGTCTGTTTATATATCACTTAAGGCTATCAGTGAATGCGTTTCGAGTTGTGAAGTGTACCCGCACGGTGGGAAAATGTTTTATCGGATTGATTTTATAAACTAGATTTTAATAAAGATATATCAAGTCACTTTTAAAATAGATTCAACTGTTTGAGTTGGTTTTAGAAGAGAAATGTGCTCAATTATTAGCGAATTTTGAAATTTTTTACTTCTTAAGATATAGGTAAATATTAAGATCATACTAGGTTTATTAAGCCTAAACAGAAAATAATTATATTTAATTTTAAATATTGTTTTAATATCAAAAGTATATTTAACACACATTTTCTCTACGTGCAATAACCTTAATATACACATAAGATAAGGCACTGAAAAGCCGAATTTGTGTTTCAATTTGCGTTAAAGTTGGTCCCATCTAAAGATCCTCCTTTCCTCTCCTCGTTGCAGCTTTTACCGCCGAGTGCCCAGCCAGCGGAGGACTCCTCTGCGAACGTGAACGACTCGCTGGTGATGACAAACGCCCCGGCGATGAGCCCCGCGGGTGGTGCGGACTGCCAGGCGAGCCAGCCATCGGGTGGCGTTGCTGGAGCTGGCGGAGATGCCTCCTCGGGTGCACTCAGCCCCAATGCCCTTTCGCAGAACTCGCAGAATGCCCCCACGGGGGGATCGGTGGTGGCCGGAGCTGGATCTGGGCCAGGAGGAGCGGACTTGGTTACCGGTGGAGGTTCCCTGGACGGCAATGGTGTGGGCACGACGCCCACGGCCGGCGGAGGCAGTGGCTCCTGCTGCGAGAATGGGCGACCTATTATGACCGACCCGGTGTCGGGTCAGACCGTCTGCTCCTGCCAGTACGACTCCGCCCGCCTTGCCCTCTCCAGCTACTCGCGCCTGCCGGCGGCCAGCGTTGGCGTCTACGGGACACCGTATCCCTCGACGGATCAGAATCCCTACCAGAGCATTGGAGTGGATAGCTCCGCCTTCTATTCGCCGCTGGTGAGTGTACTTTAGAACTAATATAAATAATAAATATATGTATAATATTAGGAAATATTTTTGTATCTTAAAGAAAAGGTGTTAAAGTATCTCTTGCTGCTTTGGAATTCTTTTTATTAGTTTTATTAAATTAAAAACAAAAATCTTATAAGGTATTAACAGGATTTTTTTACATTTAAAATCAAAAGATCTCGAACTAATTTTATCTCAAAAGATTTACTTAGAAAAATATAATTTTTTTTTCCAAGTGCCAGGCAACCAGCCATGAGCTGAAGGAGGTGAAGAGCCCCCTGGGCCAGAGGGCTAAATGGATTATCTCAGCGTATGACTTTAATTGTGTAGTCAGTGGCTTTTGTCCGCAGCTTAGGAGGAGGGAGACACCGAACCGACAACGACAACGGGAGAACGACAAAGACAACGACAACGACATCGACAACTAAAACGACAACAAAGCTATTGGCTTTGGCTATGGCTAACAACGACAACGACGATGGCTTGGCTTGTCAATGCAGTCGACTAAATCGAATTATCATTATGGCTGACTGAAGCTCAGTCAAACCTCATTTGGCTCCGTATCGGGGGTTTAGTTTCTTCCCTCCGGAATCCTCACTGGATCCCCTTTCTATCGCCGCCTATCCATCTACCTAATTTATAAGCCAGGCCAGTCCAGCCCGACATCCCCCCCCCGGATTCCCTACTACTGCCAATCGACTTCCATTGCGATATTTGATACTTTGCATAAAGAAAGGCAAAATCATTGGAAACAAAACATATTGCCCCATGGCCTCAATTACACTCCACTCTCTTCGTGTATGTGTGGGCTAATCAAGCTTATGGCCCAGTCAGTGTGTGTAAGAGAGCACCACACACAACATACACACAGTGGAGGTTAAGGTGATGGGATAACCCTTTGGCAGGCATCTAAAACTTTATCTAATGAAGTAATTTATAATTATGTACGATTTATTGTTATATTATTTTATGTAAATAAAGTTAAAGTTAGTTAAGGGATATTATACAAAATTGTATAGTTTATAAGTTGTGGAACCCACAATTGTTTTTATCTTGTTTCTAGAAAAAATTGATACGTAATCACAATTTTTCAAAGATTTTCGTTGGCAAATTTAATTATTTAAATATTAATATACAATTTAAAATACATTTTTTGATTAATCAAATTTGTTTATTTGTTTGTTTATTTATTAGCTCTTTTGTAATATTTATAAATTCTTTGAGAAGGTTATAACATAATATTGTTATTCTATAATAATTTCCTTTTAATAATTTCTTTCCCTACTCAAATACTATTTTCTCATAGAAAAATTTTAAAAAATCTATAAAAGCCTAAATCATATTTTATCCAATTCTAATTCCCCTATTATTCCGACCTTGACTGTGTTTATATAGTCTCTAAGTGACCGCTGAAATGTACACGAGCACAGCATGACTGAAGCAAAACACACGCTGGCGCTGCTGCTGCTGCTGCTTTTGCTTTGGCTTTGGCTGCTGCTGTTGGCCTGAATGAATGGCAAACACAAGCACAAACACAGTCGCAGACAAACACACAAAATTGGCAACAATATGTATAACAACAATGTGGACAGTATTTAGCCTTGGCAAATAACTAACTGCCCGAGATGGATAGGCCGGACAACGGCTTAGCTGGAAGCGTCCAAAAACAACGAAAAGACCAAATAACCAAATAGCCGAGCAAGTGTTTTATAAGGACAGATAAATAATTTCATCAGCGTGGTTTGTGTACACAATTTTTCGATTTGCGAATAAGAGAGAAGGTTTTTTTTTGGGCAGCATTTTTATTATTTACTGTGAGTTCTATAGATACATGTAAGTGAAAAGAGTTGTTTCAAGAAATGCTATAGGACTTCATTAGTTTTTAAATTAAAAAATGTCGAATTCTTTTCTAGATATTTATTGAAAAGTTCTTTAAAATGATAGTAAATGATAAATTTAATAAGAAATAAAATCAAAGTATAACTCAAATGCCATTGAATTGTTTTTTAAATTATTTTAATGAAATAGAAAATTAGAGTTTACAAGCTTGTGAAGATTTTTATATATTTTTCACACGATTTTAATTACCAAAAATTTTAAAAATAGAATTAGCATAACTTGACAAGATAGTAAACATATGTAACAAAGTTAAATTATGGACACCCCAAAAATGTTGATGTAAGCTTCATGTAAAACATAAAAACCAGGTGAACAATATATAAAAAAACTTAAAAGATATCAAAAAATCAACCTAAAATTTAGCCCAATAAAATTTCTCTAGTCTTTTGCCCTATCTCAGGTCACGTTTCTTCCAAATTAACCTACAAGTTTCATGAATTGTTACTAATTTAAAAGAAATCTTAAAACACTTGTCCCGGCTTTGTCAACAATATTTCCCCAGAGCTGTAATAAGCACATTAGTTTGAATGATCTAATTAATATGAACGAAAACACGGTCTAATCAACTTGGGCGGCTCTCGGCCCAGTACTTCAAAGGGAAACCACCTCCTTGGAGGCAAGGGAGTGATGTAAGAGGCAAGAAAACCCCCCGGGAAAAAGGAGAGGAGAGGAAAAGCAAATGGGGCGGAGACGGCAGCGGCAGCCACCAAAGTGTCATGTTAAATTGTTATTTACAACAACAGGAAATTCATTCGTTCTTCTCCTTTTTTTCGTCTTTATTTTTATTTGGTTTTTTTCTCCCCTTTATATTTGTTGTTTTTTTGTGGCAAGAGAGCGCACCTGACCGACTGAGTGTCTTCTTTATCGCGGACGTCGCGTCACGAAGCGCATACTTTTAATTAAGAAAATATCTCTGGGGGCTCGATAAGATGTCTGTTCAATTTGGAAGCGAGGTGTTAATACGCGGGATCTGGTAGAATCTTACACATCATTTCGATTGGTAAATAAATCGGGGAGACGACCAAAACCACGACGAGATCTCTTTTTTTTTCGATGGCGATCCGAACCCAATACCAATACCTGTTCAAACGACATTTTGATAAATATATTTGTCACTCGACCGCGGCGGCATCTGAATTGATTCGAGGAGAGCTTTCGGCTCTGGAGGGGGTGAAAAATTAATAAACAACGGCATACATGATGTTCGGCAATTAAAAATGTTAATACCATTTCATAAATCAAGAGCCCACAAAAGCCCGGGTCGACAGGGCCAACCAGATTGGGCCGCTGCCGCTACGGCGATCTGGCCAATAGTTGTCGCTCATAAATCCGGCTGTCATTTTCCGAGGGCATAAATCGCAGCACGCCACAGCCAGACTTGGGAGTCTGAATTGGAATTAAAATTCAAAGTGTCAGTCCAGCAAAAGCCCGATTTTATACCCGTTTAATAACAATAATCGGCGCTCGCTGGCTTAGATAATTTCCGATTTTCGGAAAGTTATGGTTTCTCGGTATCGATCGCTGTATCTGTCGATGAATGTCTCTCAAATATATGGCCAGTATGGCGGCATTTGCTTGTTTTGCCGCGAAATATGTTGCCAAATTATAAATTCCATGTTAACAAAATTGTCAACTTTGGAAACTGTGGGAAAATGCTTTGTTTCGGCGGATTCGAAATCAAATAATAATAACTCAATTCAATTCATTGTGTTAAATTCTGAATTCTTAATCGTTTCAGAGCAATCCGTACGGACTCAAGGACACGGGCGCGGGCCCAGAGATGGGTGCCTGGACTTCAGCTGGACTGCAGCCCACCACGGGCTATTATTCCTACGATCCCATGTCGGCCTATGGGTAAGAGCAATCTCTCTCTTCTTTTAAATTTAATTAAATTTTACGCAGAACAATAATTAATTGCGTCTAATAGAATATAAATAGAAAGCCTTTTAGCGCAATTTAAATACGCAGAGAACCCAACTGCAATTGCTCGTCCATAATTAATTACAAAATATTTGCGAGTACTTGAAATTGATTTGAATTTAATTGCTTGCGGCGGCTGCGTTGCTCCTCCCCTGTCCCTCTCCCGGCTGTGTCCTGCTTTCTTCCTCCGAATTTCCCCTCCGTGCTCTACGGACTGACGATAATAAAATTTGAATTGTTCGAAGCTGTATGAGAGCGCGAAATTATTTATTTATGATTGCTGCAAAAATAATAGCAGTTAATTGCACGCCAGAGCGCGCAACGCACGCTGTACGTCCTCACAAAAAGCATTTATATATAGAATCATGTGTGTTTATGCACTGAGAAAATATAATGGGGAATATGTATTTTAAATATAAATATAAAGTTTAATTTTATTAGATTTATCATTCAAATTTTTTAGAAGCAATTTAACCCATTAAATTATTATATGAAATGAGGTATGGGTAGAGGTATTCATTCTTTCTCATCATCAGTATTTGATTTTTTCTCGAAATAAATAGTAAAATTTTTGCATTTTAAATTACAAAAATGATTTAATATAAAGTTTTAAAAGTTCATTTCGCACCTGAAGAAAATATAAGTAAATTGAACTTATAAATCCCTAAAAGCTAGATTTTAATTTATATTTCCTTTATTTTTCCCCCTGTGTAAGTGCGTGATTTTGTGGAGTATGCTGCTTAATTAGCACCTATTAAATAAATATTTTATTCCATATGCCCAACATTTTTTGCCGTGCATGTACATACATTAATACAAAAAGTATGTGCACACGTGGGTGCATATGCATGCATAAGTGCGTACGCACATACCACACACTCACACTCGGGAGGACGAGGCCCCATTGCCACTACCAGTCCCAATCCCAGTTCCAGACCCAGTCCGAGAATTCCGATTCCAGATCGGGGGGACAGAGCAACTGGGCGACTGGGAAGGCTGTGTGGCATGCAACGGCTGCGGCTTCCCGTTGGACGGTCGCTTTGGGCCGGCTTGCGTGCGGAAAGCCCATGAAATCGAGCTGCAGCTAAGTGAATGAATGAGTGAGTGAGTTGTAAGCGATGCAGCCGAGGGGGGAGCGGGGTGGCGGTGCCGAAGGGGGTGCCCGAGGGGGCGGAGAGGTGTGAGCCGCAAATGAACGCCATGTTGGCCGCCATATTGAGCGGCAGTACATACGCACGTACTTACCGATGTACCGGTGTTGTGTTGGTATGTGTTTCGGCCACCAGTCTGTAAAGTGCACTGAAAAAAAATATAAGTATTTTTTAAATTAGAAGTATAAATGCCATCATAAAACAATACAGATATATTTTTCATCTGGGGAAGAGCAACCTTTATTCATTCATAATCAAAATACAAAGCTATTTCCCATTAAAAAAAATATTACAAAATTGTTTAAAATTATTTTTAAAGCCCACCTTGATATTTAAATATTTTTTCCCTCTGTGCGAAGGCGTGTACATATTTACGGGCTTGACAAAGACATTTAAGAGGGGAGAACGGTTGCGCTTTGTTTTGTTCATAGTCACAAATTGGCACCGTGGAAAGGTGGAAAATCTGACTGACTGACTGACTGTCTCTCCGTCCCTCTGTCTGTCTGTCTGGCTTGGATGGAAATTGCAGGGGGTCGAGCAAAATGGAAAAAGGGAACAAGATGGGGGGTGTGAGTCTCCGCCTGAGTGGGGGGTGGCACTGACAGCCATCGTAATTACCCAGTGACAGGCATGCCCGTGTCTGCTCACGGGAGCGAATGTCATTTTAATGCTGGCATTATTTGTTCGAAATGTACGAGTAAATCGCAACTCGCAGATAATGGCCGCCGTAATTGGCGGCTCCGGCCAAATTGCATGTGTTTCGCGTAGAAGCTACAAATGTAAATGTGTGTAAGCCGGTCTAAAACTAATAAGCGCACCATTCGGTCATTCCCAGTGACTGCACTGTAGAATAATATTATTAGGGGATTTTTAGAATATCTTTAAGCTTGGTAATAACGAAAATAAGTGGTTGTTTTGGGAAATGTTTGTTTAAAAATTATTAGAAAGCATTTTTGTTGAAAATTTTATGGGGAAAATGTGAAATGTGAAATATGTGAAATGCTAGACTACTCAAGAATATATTTATTAAAAGGCAAATGCATTCTTGTTTTTTTAAATAAAATTTTGAAATCTGGTTTACTGGACTTTAAATGAAAAAATATTTTAGAAGGCATTGTTTATGTATTAAAAATAATATTTATTGTTTCCAGTAATTCAATATCCTTCATTGAGGATAATTTCAATGTAAAATTAAGCACTTCAAGCCTTTTCTAATTAAAATTTAACTGGTTCTAGAATTAAAATAAAAAATATTTTATTTACTTAATTTAAAAACAAATGTCCCCTGTTTTTTTTCGAGTGCTAGCAACCATATAGCCATAGAGCCATAGAACCGTATCCGTCGCCCTGTATTTGTGTGAACAAGAATGTGATTTGTTAACAAGATTATGGCCCGCTAGGAACAGCAGCAGCAGCAACAGCAACAGCAAGTAGCAGTAGCTACTGCCGCGGCCAAATCATTTTTGTTTACGAGTTATGCCAAAAGAACGCAGACACATGTATGCCGGTACATGCATTTCGCGGCACTGCAATTATATGGCGAATACAAAAATAGGATGCGTGCCAATTACGGACAAATTGATGTTGTGTTAGCTTGTAAACATAACAGCACAAAAAGCCCACAAAGCGTATCACTCGAATCGAATTCAGCCAGCAATAGAGCCATAGAGCTATAGAGAGCTATAGCCACCGAACTACGCGATAATCATATGGTCGGGATATTATAAAACCGCCTTCGAACGATGTTACGGGTTACGTGCCAGAAATTACGGGCTTCTCGTGCCTCCCGTCATGGTCATTGGACAAATCTGATTTCTTGTCTGGACCTCAAATACAGTGGAAACTCTCATTGGGCGTACATAAATTAAGGGAAACCTTAAATCTTGCTGTAAAGGGGTACTTTAGCGGACAAACTCTATTGAGCGGACAAATCTATTGCAAGAAAGGGATTTCTGGAGGGAAACTGTTTAAAGCGAATACATTTTTTTTTAATTTTTTAAGATTTTTATTCTGAATAATGACAAATTTGGATAAATCATAAAATTGTAATATAAAATAGCTGCAGCTCTTTTCAGTTTCTCTAATTAAAAACTTTAGAAGTTAAAGGATGCAATTTTATTTTAAATAGAATATTGTACTTTAACGATGATAAACATTTTATTTCCCTTGAACAAAAAAAAAAAAAACCCTTTCAGTGAAAGTCTCGCTGTATTTTTTGAATTGTACCTAAAAACCACGAATCCTCCTCCAAACTCTTGTGCTAATCACTGGCAACATCCTCCTCCACACTGTTCACAATCAGAGTACACTAGCACTACAACAAAAAGCACAAAAAAAAAGGAAAATAAAAAGAGAAAGAGAAAAAAACAAGGAGAAAGGACGTTAAAATTTGCATTCGACGGGCAGCGGTTCCGAGTTTCGTTCTTTATCTTGTTGTAAAATTCACCGCACACAAACTGTTGATTGTGGCTCCATAAAAATCCCATGAAAAAGCAAGCAAAACGGGGAATAAAAGAGGACGAAAAGGGATTGGGAGTGGCAGCGGGAGTGGGTGTGGGTCTGGGCAGAAGACCCGAAAGTGAAATGCCCGGCGAACGGATGAGCCGGATGTGCAGCGGAGAGTACGCATGGGCTGGGGCTTAATTTTAGCTAGGAAGTGCTGCTGCTGCTGCTGCTGCTGGAAGGGATTCCCACAGGCTCTGGTGGGTTAAAAAATGTGCGATAAGTGCACCACCATGGCGTAGGAGGAGGAGGAGTGCTTGCACCCACTTGTCGTCCTCGTTATTGCCGGAGACGCTGTGTTTGGACTGCTGTTGCTGCTTTTTGTGGCCGTGCCCTGTTTCACAACTATGTTTTACAATATTTTGACGATGTATTACACTGGCAGGACGACGATCCCGAGTATCTCTCCGGGGAGAGTTCAGCTCAGGGATGTCCAGGGGGGATAGGAGAACATCAATTTGAGTTTTCCGCATTTTTAATGAATTTCCATGTTTCTGTGCTGATGCATTTTTTACGGGGCATGCAATTAGAGAGAGAGAGCTAGCCGCTAGCTAAGGAAATCTCTTAAAGGAGATTTACTATTTTTTAAATTTAAAATATTTTTTAAATTATTAAATTATTTTAAATATATTTTCTCTTCCTTTCCAGCTATGGAGCCAGCTACGATCTGGCCGCTCGTCGCAAGAACGCCACGCGGGAGTCCACAGCCACGCTGAAGGCCTGGCTGAATGAACACAAGAAGAATCCGTATCCCACGAAGGGCGAGAAGATTATGCTGGCAATTATCACCAAGATGACGCTCACCCAGGTCTCCACCTGGTTTGCCAATGCCCGGCGGCGACTGAAGAAAGAGAACAAGATGACCTGGGAGCCCAAGAATCGCACCGATGACGACGACGATGCCATGGTGTCCGATGATGAGAAGGACAAGGAGGACTTGGAGCCGGGCAGCAAGGGAAGCCAGAGTGGCAGTGGCCTGGCCAAAGGTATAGGACTTGGAAGCCATTCCCCAGGGTTAAGTACTCAAAGCCGTCCTTTCTTTGAACCAGATGAGACCAAAGAGGAGGAGGACGCCATAGACGAGGACCAGAAGTGCTTGGGTCAGCAGGCCAATATCCTGAGGGCAGGCTTCGGCTATCCCTCGGCGGGCAGTGGTGGCTATCATGGAGGCGGAGGTGGCTCCGCTGCTGGTGGCTATCACCCGTATCATCATCAGCATCCCGCTTACTACCAGCCGGGTCAGCAGGGCATGCTGCCATTTCATGAGGGTTCCGGATCCGGGTCAAAGCTCCACGGGGACAATGGGGAGCCAAAAAACCAGCTAGGCCGGGACTGTGGCGTGCCGATTCCAGCTACCAAGCCGAAGATCTGGAGTCTGGCCGACACAGTTGGCTGCAAGACCCCGCCGCCGGCCTACATGGGCCACCAGGGTCACCCAAATCACTCGATTCCGCTTCAGCAGCAGTATCCCCCGGTGCAGCAGGAGGCGGCAGGCCGGGATCAGATGTTCAATGGTGCCGCCGCTCCCTACCTGAGGCCGCACACCACGGCTTACGGGGGTTTTCTAGGGGCTACGACCCAGCAGCTGCATACTACGAACAGCAGCAACAGTATGCCCTACACCAGCAGCAGTATGCCCCAGCAGCAGCAGTCGCAGCTGGAGCAACTGCATCCGCAGCAGCTGGCGGGGGGGCTGCGGAGCAGCGGGAGCAGCAGTTCCAGCGGCACGCATACGCCTACCATCCTTACTACGGGAAGTTCGAGCGGGGCCCAGCAGCTGCAGCTGCAGTTCCAGCGGCAACAGTTCCAACAATCTCAGTCCACAGCGAGTCAGCGGGCGATGGGGTTTCCCGAAGCCCAACCCGATACTCCACCCCAAACTCCGCCGAATATGAAGGTGCTGAACGGAGCTTTGAGTCTCCTGCCTACCGCTACTCCAGCCCCTACGATCGCTACCTGTCGCAGCAGTAATGCGGCCCAGTACAACGGCTACCCGATGAACTTCTCCCGGATTGGGGAGTATTCGCCGCGAGAGGACTACGGCAGTGGGAACAGTAGCAGCAGCAGTACCAGCTCATCGTCCTCGCCTCTTCAGCTGCAGCGGAATGAGGCAATGTTCCGGCCGCTCTTCAAGAAGTTCGTAAACTAAGGGGATCAGTGAGAAAAAAATACGTTTTGCCTAAAATCTCTAATAAAATCAAAGAGATCTTGCTCAGCGTCTCTGAATAAAATCAAAGAATTAATTTTTGATCAGCACTGCGTCTATAACTGGTATTTAAGAGGCCCCATGGGGATCGTGTAATATTCATTGTAATCGTATACACCGCGTAAAACAACTTCAAGTTTCATTCGAGTTATGCATCATGTATTTAGAGTACCAGATCAAATGTTTCTCTTCGAACCGCAATGTAAGCTTAGGCTAAATACTAAACTAGCGCAATAAGATTGTAAACTGTGATACGTTTTTCATTGTCTAACAGACTTCACACTAAACACTTCGTCTATATGAACACATAATCTAAATAATTTTAAATCGTTTAATAAAATTCTTTATAATCATGAAAGGTTTGAGTTTCTTTTTATAATGGAAAGAGGGAGTTGGTTTTTTACAATAACTTGAAGGTAAGGGAAGGTAAGTTTCAGCTTAACTATAAGTCCCTCATAGAGTTTATGTTCAGAAAATCTATACATGAAAGCAATTTTTTTGTATAGAACATTTTAGTTTAATAATAGCAAATGGCATTCCTAAATTGCGACACATTTCAGTAGTTATCTATTTATTATATATTTTTCTGTCACATCTTTTTTCTTCTAGAAAATATCTGCTAATTACCTTCTACCCTTCAAGGACAAATTAACATTAATTTATAGTTTGAACATTTGTTCTAATTCAGCGACAGCAACAGCAGTCTTTTGAAATGAATATGGCGGTAAAACCAGTGTCATTAATCGATTGCAAATGTAATATATTATTATTTTTTTCTCTTTGCCCAAATTGAGGCCAGGCAAAAAAGCTGAAAACATGACGTACAAAAATGGTAATGATAGGTGTAATTAAGCATTTTTATACTCTAGCAAGAGGTATGATTCAACTAAAAACTGATAAGGTATTTACAATGCACTACTATTAAAAAATAACAAAATGATTTATTAAATTTATCTTTAATATTGGATTAAGGTAGGTCTTGCTTAATTCTTTTTTAATTATTGGAAGGAGTATGCAGATTTTCTTAAAAATACATATTTTTATAGGTCTTCAGAATAGTTTATTTTCACAATTTATTGTTAAGTTTAGTACCTATAGAATTTCGTTATAGTTAAATATTTCATTTAGCGCTTTTATTTAAAGATTTATTTGAATTTATTTCCTGCTAAAAAACAGACAATAAGTCCAAATATGAAATACATCAAGGGTCATATAAAAAAACAATGAAATACAGAACAGACAAATTTAAAAATTAGAGTTTAGGAAACGGTGTAAACGTACAACTTGACAAATATAATGTTTTTAGGGGTTAAACGGCTAATTTTAGACACTGTTTTTAGTTTCTTATCACACCCATAAGATCTTTAATATATATATTTAAAGTTTTAATATTAAATATTATATTTATAAATAAAGAAGACCAGACTTCCCACCAGATCTGGTTAAAAAATAAATAAAATGTGATCTAATGAGGCATGGAAACCCACTCAATCATTACTTAGATCAAGCCTGCTCTTCTTTAACACAAAATCTCGGGACATTTTGAAATTTAAATATATAAATTATGATATGATACCCACAGGATTAATGAAATTTTTTTTCTTTCTGTGTAGACATTGCCGAATCGCCGCAGAAATTGTCAAATGCGAGACATGGACAATGCCGCATTCGTAGCGAAAAAGCACTCGAAACGCGAATGGCGGCGGCATCTCTGGGCCCGGGGGTCTGTGGGCTTCTTACCTGGGGTTTGAGTACACCGGGGGAAGTTGGCGCGTTTATGGGGAAAACAATTTGTAACGACTATCGCCGTTTGATAAATTAACATTTAGCGGCGGCTCGATTATGCAACAAATTGCCAATTGAATTGAAATTGACAGCCGACGAAGGCAGTCGTCGCGCTGAAGAGACCAATTCCGAATTAGCCGATGCGGCGATGCCATTCCTCCGCTCGAATTTGTAAGTGCAAGTGATTAATTTGGTTTCGTTTGACACAGTTTACACATGTAAGTGGCCAGCGGGACAGGTGGAAATGGAGCCAAGAGCAAAGATGCCAAGTCTAGAGCCCAGATCCAGTGTCTGGCCACATGTCGAGTGGCGCTTTGGGGTTCGGGAACTAATTTCTTAAACGGTTTGCCAGTAATTCTATGGTGCCATCAGCGGGACATTAGTTCCGTTCCCATAGTTTACTTAAGGCCAAGTGCCCCGCTCGCTTTATGGTCGTGTTTTACAATGCTAAATGACCGCGCCGGGCATAAAATTTCCCATTACACATTGGGGTCCAATCAGTAAGCCGGGTAAATTAATCGCATCACGGCGAGATGGAGAGTTCGGAGCTCTGTCCCGGGGATCCGAGATCCTTGGCTTGCTTGTGAAGCGATCTCGTTTATGGGTCATAAACCATGGGATCCCGCCACTCGACATTCCCTGGCATTGTCTCGGTTTCAGTTCGGTTTCGGAATCGGGATCGGATCGGATTGGGTCGGATTGGATCGGTCACCAGCGGCGAGGATATACGACAGTTAACTTATCTTGCATCCACTTAACGTCTTGCGGCCATAAATCAATCCAATGGCCGAATGCTCGATGGCAGCCAGCAGGCGAATTAATCACTTTGGAAATTGTTACCCATTTGGAAACTTGTCGCATTTGCTTGAGTCTCTTCTCTCCGACGAGATCTGGCGACCCGTTTCCAAGTACCACAGAGAGACTGGACTGGACTGGACTGGATGGGACTGGAGACTGGGGACTGACTCGTGTGTGGGCAATCCTTCAACACCATGTGAAAATCACGGTAATTTATTATTGACAGTCGCAGTAGTAGGTACCGAGTCGTATTTGTGATTAGTTACCTTCTTTATGCCTAGATCCCAGACGCTGCTCGGGGATTTGGGCAGTCGTCATCATGGTCAAGTGGCATCAAGGGGCTGTAGCCTCTTACAAATGTCACGGAAACATTTCTCATCTAGTCAAAGTGAATGGCACATCAATTTCTATCTTCTTTTTTTTTTTGTTCAAAGTGTCGAAAACGGTAAGCGATTAAGTTGATTTAATACCACCGCTGCTTTTGGCTTATAAAAGTCATATTAAAAAGAGAACTTGAGGGGATTTACTCGCTATTCATTAGGTTTGTACAAATAACTTGGGTTTTCTTGGGGGTTAAATAGTAGCCAAGGGCCAAGAAAATTAATGAAGGAAGGGGAAATTCATCTATTTACTAACCTAATGATCTTCTATACTATAACTATAACTTGAGAGATTAATTGATGTAGAAAATAGTAAATTAAATATAAAATCATTTGGAAAATGATGAAAAATAATTATATTAAGGGAATTACATCTTAACTCTTTATTTTCAGCACAAAAAACTATACTTTCTTCTATGAAAAACTATCTAGGCCAACTTACAAATCAAAAGTAAGCCAATAAATATAAATTATTCAAGAAAAAACCTCTCACTTTACCTGACTTTCCTTCATAACTTTTGTACATCTCACAGAAATAAAATAAAATAAATTAAATAAATCTTCTAAATACAAATAGCTTAAACTCATGGAATACTTCTTATTCAGGAAATCACTGTACCATAGCTGTGAGCAAATATGTTGCTAACCCCTTTTCTGTGTTGTTCCGTTAATTCACAAATATTTAAGCCAAACGAAAACACACAATGTTCGTGAGTCTTAAGCATAAACCATAGAAATCTGAAAGGCTAAGCCAAGGCTTTCTCTTATCCAAAAGCCTGCTTAAATACTCGAGTCTGCTCAAGCAATTAGTTGGCATTCAACGTTATTGATCCGGAAATGGTTGTGGGTTATATATTTTATTAAATTTTCACAAATTTTCATATTAATCGCAAATATTCACACTCAATTATAAAATACCAAAGAACACAAATTTGCCCCAACATAATGAAGGGAAAATTCCTTGAGACATGCCGACATTCTGCTGGAATAGACAGCCGACGCTGGAGTAGGAGGTATTTTTCGGTGGTGGATGCTGCTTCTGCTGCTGCTGCTGCTCCAAGATGCTACAAGAATGCAAAGTGTCATTTAAGTGAAACAAGACGAGAACAAACACAGAGCATCCTAGAAGAAGGGTTCCTTCCATGCCAGCCACCGAGACCAGCAACCCTTTGCCGGGGTGGCATTGCATCCTCGACCACGCAGCTTACTTACGCAGCTTCTATAAATTATAGCTGCCGCTTGTCATGTACGGAAATCCTTGTGTCAGTGCAGCCAGGATTCGGGATCCAGTCTCGAGACTCTGGGCACCAGCCTCTTCTGGTCTCCGGCTTCTGGCTTTGACAGAGCCCAGGCAGGGCGATACGTTTGTTTTCAACAGGATTAGAAATTCGTTGCAACGCACAAAAGCCTCAGGAACAATTCAAGCAGACACATCTCGCAACTATAACAATTAATATCCTGGAAATTGCATCGTGACATGAGTGTGTAGTCTGTCTATTCCGGCTGCTGCTGCCAGCCTGCCAAAGGAACAGCGCACACGAGGGCGTATACTTGATGGCGTATGCTAATTTCCCTAATGCCATCCTCGAGATTCGCACTGTGTGTATGTGTGTGTGTGAGTTATAGACTTAACTCATTGAGCAGCAACCCCTGATGCATGTCCTGGGGCAGGACTTGGCTTGAAAGGAAGTTGGCTGTAAGAAAATTATTTAATTAAGTGTATTTGGTTTGGTAATATTTTTGTTACTAATATATAAGTAGAGCTTATTAAAGCTAGTTTTCTATTTTAAGAAGCTTTTCTAGGAGACAATGTTGGCGATTTGTCAATGGTTTGTCTTTTTCTTTGAATAATTGATTACAGCCAACCAAAGACATTTCATCATCATCTATTACGTTCCACACGCCCCGGCTTAGAGTCATATTTAATGGACATGTATTGTGGCCGATCAATCATGACCGTACCTCCATGGGTCTCTCTCTCTGTCTTGGCTGTCTCCTCAAAAAAATTATTTTAAAGAAATCCAAAAAGAGGGGAAACTAAAAGCGCCCACGATATGTGGGACCAATGGCCACCTCTGTCAAGGCAGCTGATTATTCCCGGCATAGACACTCGCGTATACAAATGTATATTTAGACAAATGCCGATGATAAGACAAGCTAAAATAATTATGACCATTAGGCCACATTAGGCACTGGTGTTGGGATGTCTCCGCGATCGCGGCCACCTTGTGGGATAAATACTTGAGATTTCCCAAAAGATATTGGTCTGGGGAGGTGTTTAAATAGCAACACAAATTTAATGGACTGTTTTTCCGATATTTAATTGTGAGTTTAAGGGAGAGGAAGGTAAAATCAGCAAGGAAAGACATTTAATTTAATATTAAATATTTTAATA